ATAGGCGCCGAGCCGCTAATAACTTTTAAACTAAAGACTTCTAAAGCCTTGTTGCATTTTTACAATCATAGACATAAACGGAAACTAGCCTGACCCTGTGTTCCAAAAGAAAATAAGTTTAATGCTAGTTACAGCCTATGACCACAGTATGATCACTTCCATCCACTCCAGGTTTCCTTGCCATCTCCATCTCCTCTTCCTCACATAGGGAACACAGTCCAGGCCACATTCCTGAGTCTATCTCCTCTCCCCCATCCTCCACTTGGACCAGAGTATTCTGTCCTCCAGGGTCTCCTGCCTACCCCCAACCCTGCCCTCTCTTGAATCAAATCCCTCCAACTTCCCCCTTTCCCAGCAGACTCCAGAGCCCATAGGACTTTTCCTAAGGACTGAAGAACCAGATTCTGGAAGCAAAAGCTGGGACCCAAACCCTCAGTACAGCCCAATCATTAAAAAGGGGCAGGCTCCAGCCCCAACACAAAAAGAGAAGAACTCAGAACCAAAGGAGGTATTATTTGGCTGGAGGGGTTGAGGGAGGGAGAGGAGCCAGGAAACAAAAAGAGGAGAGAGGCCACTGAGGGAGGTGGGGGGCCAGGAGGAAGGAGGCTCTCCCCTGACTCTACTGGGGGACCTTGCTCTCTCTCCTAGCCCTCCCAGCCACCCAGGCCCAGGCCTCCCATCCCCACCAAACCTCAGCTGCCCCCGGAAGCCTACACAAGCCCCTCTCTTCGACCCCGCCTGGCCACACCCCTCAAGCCCACCAACCCTATCTACTATGAGCCTGATGAACCCATCGCCTTCTATGCCATGGGCCGGGGCAGCCCTGGGGAGGCCCCCAGCAACATCTACGCTGAGGTAGAAGGTGAAGGCCCTCTGTCCCCACCCATGCTGCAGAAGTGCCGGTCCAGGCCTATCCCAGGAAGCCAGGTAAATGGCAGTGCAGGGAAAGGGTAGTCCAAGATTGTCCTGTAAGCTGAACTGGAGAGGGCAGATGCCTGGGTCAGGGTGAAGGTCAGAGGTCTGAGGCAATGTGGGAAGGAACAGCATGGTCCCAGCTGCCAGAAATCCTTTTTTCAGCCATTCAGACCTACCTCACCATTGTCAAGCCCCTACCCCTCCTACTCCACAGAGAAAATAGAAGCCCCAGGCAGATGCCCTCAGCCTCCCCACACCTGAGCCAGCACTTTGATCCATGTCCATCTTGTCCAGCAGGCCCCACCCCATGCATCTCTGGCTCTCTTCCTTGGCCTTCATGGCCTTGCCATCTGGGAGAAGAAGGGTGCTTGGGATCCTCTGTCATCTCAGATGAGCTCAGGGGAGGGGGCATCTGTCCTCCTAGCCTCCTTCTGCACACCCCCTCGATCTCCCCCACTCCCTGTCTCCTTCCTCATCAAGTCAGCGTCTCCTGCTCCAAGTTAGGCCCACTAGCTGTGTCCATTCTCTCCCTCTACCTCTGTCCCATCTTCAGGCCCTTCCCCAGCCCACCTCCCTGCCCCTTCCACTGCCTCAACTCCCCCTTAGCTGTGAGGACTGCTTGTGCCCACCCACACCCTGCCAACTGCTGCTGTCCTCAAGCTGATGCCGCAATTCCATGTCTCCACCTAAACTTTTCTCTGGGCTTCTGGTCAGCTCCTCAGCATCCCATAGCCCCTCAAACTCAACACAGCCAACACCACTGTCACCCTCACCCCTAGATTGCTTCCTCTCATGTTGGCTATCCTGACTGATCAGCCAACTACCAGCTAATCCAGCCCTCCAGCTACCCAAGCTAGCATCCCAGGGCTCCCTCAAGATCTCCTCCTTTGTCATCCAGTCCCCCTCATTAGCCAGAAATTCTTGCTGGGTCTCTTCCCAATAGATGTTTCCTTTTCCTAGCTCCAACCCCATTATTTCTCATCTGGACTTTTCTAAGAGCTTCTTAACCAAGTTTCCTACCACCAATCTTTCTACTTCTGATCCCTCTGCCCCGAGATCAGAATGGTCTTTCTGAAGCAGCTGCCTGGCCCATGAGGCCTCCATGCTTCAGTGGGGTGTCCCTCCTCCTTAGCCTTCACACCACTGCTCCTGTCCTCCTAGAACATTCACATCTCTCCAAACCACCAAGTGGTTTCAAGCCTCCTCAGTTTGCACCCTCCGATCTGTCTACCTGCAGCAATTTCCTGCAAGCTTGTCCTCCCATTGCTCTTTCAGTCATCCTTCAAGACCAGTGTGCCTTTCGCTTCTGGAAAGTTCTCCCTGAACTGGCCAGAGACTGTGCTTTACACACACACACCTGCCACTGATCACCTTGGGCCACTGGTCTCTTCTCATCTCCTCATCCCCCTTCCCCAGTAGAGTGTGAGCCCTCTGAAGGCAAGCTTGGGACTTAGCCTCTGTCTCCAAAGCACAGTCCCTGGGCATACAGCAGGTGCTCAGGAAATGTCTGCTGAATGAATAAATGAGAGAGGTTTAGACCCCCTAACTGGAGGCCAAATTCTAGTAAGACCAAATGTTGTGGCTCTTGAGACTGCAGGTAGGCCTAAGAGGCAGAGGGTTTGAAGTGTGACGTAGGACTGTCCTTCTCTCTGCAGAGTCCAGGTGGACCACAGCTATATTCTGAGAACTCTGTGGCTAGACAAGGGCCTGCCCTGCCCCAGAAGCTTCCATCCACCTGGAGACACACCCTTCCCCACAATCTTTCAAGGTAGATGCTTCTGGACAAAGGACAGGCGTGGTTCCCTTTTGGGCCTCCCCAGTAGCTGGTGAGTCTGAGCTGGGGGAGAATAATTTAAAACATCTGGTCCAAAGACCTTCACACTGGGCACCCTTCTCAGGAAATAAGGATGGAACAAATCATAGGTGATCAAAGCTGGAAAGGACCCCAGCCATCATCTACTGCAAGGATGGCAAAGAGGTGTCATCTTGTGTGCCAACATCAATCCATTGGTTGTGGCTGCCTAGATCACTGCATTGTAGAGGATATTAAGGACATATCTGAACTCAGCAGAAAATAGCACCATGATTGATTAGTGATGTCTGCCATGGGTAAGGGATGGAGGGTGAGCAGCACTTCATTTGCCCTAACTGATCAAGTCCAGTTCCCTCACTGCACAGATAAGGAAGAAAAGCCAGAGAGGGACAGTGACTTGGTCAAGGTCAAGGACCAGAACACAGGCTTCCTGATTACTGTGTAGTCCCCTGTCCCTTACCCAACATCCACAAATTCTTCTCCACAGAAAACATCAAAGATCCCCTCAGATAGGAAAGGTGGCTGCTTTCCAGAGTGCTTGCTGCCCATGGGGACCCAGGTGCTGGATCCTAGCTTAACCCTGGCCCCTGACAGGTCCAGTCCCCCTCAAAGAAGCCTGGAGGTCAGAGGATCAAATGTGGGTCCATTTGCTCTTAAGGACATGCCACCTGGCTCCCTTCCAAGGGTCCCCAGGAATCCAGTGGCTCAGGGCTTGGCTATGCTCTAAGACAAAAGCAAGCATCCCGGGAGGGTACTGCTGGCCCCTGCTGCCCTGGTTTCTCCTCCTGGAGTCTAATTTCCTTGGCCCCCTGAGCCTTTGAGTCTGGGCCCTGGTCCAACGCTGCTGTTGTCTGAGGAATGGTTTGGTGAGAACAGATGTTAGAACTTGTTTGTTGATTCTTGTCTGGCTAATAAATCATCGCCAACTGCCTCCCCCCATGGGACCTAAGTCTTCCAGGTTCCTTCTGTCTCCGACCTTCTCTCCTTCATATTGTGGAAGACAAGTGGTTGAACACCCATTTCAGTAGGGATAGAGGGGCAGATGCTTGGGCAAGGGTCACAGGTCTGTCAGCTGAGGGGCTAGAGGCACCAAGGCAGGGGACACAGACCTCTCTAAAGTATTCCTTCTCTTGAAGGAGGCAGCCAGGGCAGAGTGGTGGTCCCACAGCCTGAGGGTCCCAGTAAAGAAAGAGAGGCAGGGTAGGGAGGGGTGTGGTGGAGGAGCAGCCCCTACTCCTCCTCCCCAACCGCTCTGCCAAGTATGACTCCGGGCAGGAGGAGGATGTGTTATTAACTGGCGTGTGTGAGTTCTTAGACTACAGGGAGCCCTAAAATGGCTCCAGATTCTCTTCTGTCTTCCTAGCATCTTGGGCTTAGGCTCTTTGCCTCAGTCAGGACCCTGTACCCTCCTGTCCTTATTGTGATGCTTTGCCCCTAGACACACTTCCACAGCCTCCTCCCACTATGCAGGGCTTCACATCCTGGGGCTCCAGTCACCTGGAGGAATAGTCCTGGGCCTTACTTTTGTCTCAGACTAGGGACTTTCTGAGGTGGGGCTTTGTCTGCCCCAGAAAGTCCTCAGGGCTCAAAGCAGAGACTGCCACCCCATCCAGAAGCTACCCATCCTTGGTGCTCCTGTGGTCCCACCTGTGCACCCTGTCTTTACATGCTCATTCCTATGAGAACTTAGTTAAGGCAATGGGTGCCTGTCAGGGTTCCTCTCTGTCAAGGGGCCCTGTACCAGCCTAAGGCACAAAGACCCTCCAAATCCACCCTCCAGGCCATGGCCCCTAAGCCTGGGTGCAGCCACCGCCCCACAGCACCCTCAGCCTGGCACAGGCTCCAGCCCAGTGACTGGCCAATTTGCCTCCTTTCTACCCAGCACTAATTAGATTAAGGAGAATCTTTGCTGCTGAGTCAACAGAGTCAGGGTTCCACTTCCTTTTGTTTAGACCTCAGGCCTAGAGGAGAGGTGGGGAGAGAGGCAGGGGGGAAGCGAGGAGAGCAGATGGCTTTGCTGAAATCAGGGAGAGCTGAGAGTGCAAAAAAAAGCCTTAGATTAGACTCCGGGAGTCACCTCACCTGATCCCTTGTAGCAGAGTAAGGATGCAGCCGAGTGGCCTGTTCTACAGCCAGAGGCAGACATCAGAAGCCACAGGGCAGGGTTTCTCAGTGTTTGGGGTCTAACAGAACAGGCAGAGATGCCTAGTGACGCACTTGGTGCTCCTGGCCTGCTAGCCACGGAGAAGGCAGGACCCAGGGATCTCCCTTCGGCTCCACATAGCTTGGGGTGATGCTATGTCATGAAGAGCCCATGTTCTTGTCATGGTACTGTGTTAACTGGCTGGTGTCCTTTGATAGGGAAGCCTTCTTCTGTGCCCCTGCATCCCATATTCCTATGAAACAGAGATTCCCCTCACTTGCACACAGGGTCACTGATGAGTGAGACAATGCAAGTGAAGGGCTTTGAAAAGCAGGACTGCTGAGACTAGAGGGACTTCAGAGACCCTTGTGACATAACTTTTCATTTCTACTAAAGAGGAAACTAAGGTCACAGGGAGTAGGAGGCAGGTCTTATCACCCCTGTCCAATGGAGGCCCAGCCCTGCAGACAAGGTGATGGAGCCGCCTTTCCTCTCAGCGTTGGGGATGGCCCCAATTTGCTGACTCCATTTCCAAGAAGGCCTGGGGCTGAGAGGGAGGAGAGTTGAGTAACTTGCACAGAAGAAGGGGCCTGGCAGTTCTGTAAGCAGGCTGCTCCTCCCAGCCAGGAGGGGAAGGCATTTCTCACCTGGCCATCCCATCTCTCCCTAGACCTCCTCTGGCTAGGCCCCTCTGGCTCAGCCCAGCCCGAGGTCCAGGTCCCTGCCAGGAAACAAAGGCCTTGCTGTGAGCAGAGAAAACTGCCCCCACTACAGGGCCAGCTCTGTGCTCCTGCCCCAGCCGTCTGCAGTGCCACTGACCCTGGGGCTCTTCTAGCTTCAGTCCTCCCTACCAGCTGCCCTTTTCACACTGTCTACTCCCTCAACTAGTGCAGTGGGTGGTTCCAGTAAGGCGGGCCTGTAACTCTGGCTCAGAGCAGGGTGATTGAAAGCTACTAATAACCCCTGAACCTCAGCTGTCACAACTGCACAGCACATCAAAGCCCACAAACCCACTCAGGGAGGGTTGTTGGCCAGTCACCACTGCACCACTGAGCCCCACCCTTAACTACCTCTTCTAGTCCTCACCTGAAAGGGAGGAAGAAAGGGTAAAAAAGGACAAAGAGGATGCAGCCCAGAGCACCCAGGCATCCTGGCCACTCCCCCATGCCCCACAGAACTTAGCCCCTCAATATTTACACTGTGGCTTTAGACAGTAGCTGAGCACCTCAGTTGTCATTGGGACCTGACTGGGTCCCTCCCAAGAGGCCTGGACATTGAAAACCCTGGAACACCCTCATGACAACCCTGTCATCTCCATGAGAGTCTGATGCTTGTGGCTCTCAGCTCCAGTGTTCCGGTAAACCTGACACTGCCCACCAGAGATTGTCCCAGTCCCTCTAACACCTGCCAGGGCTATTTGGATCCCCTTCTGACCAAAGCCTTCACCTTCCTCTTTCTGCCCATTGACTGATGGCTGCCATGACAATATTAACCAGTATCATTCTTTCTCTCTCCCTCATCCCTGTTTTCTGTTTACGTATGAGAACTTGAAGCTACTGTCACCAGCAAGCCCTCCCAAATGACAGCTGTCCATTTTCTAACCTGTTAGTATTTTTCAGTGACCAGGAAATTCCGACCACCAAATAAAATACCATCTTTGGTGACTACTTGAGGAGAACTAAAGGAGGTGGGAGGCAAGATGGTTCAAGGTACCTAGCTCAGCTCTGCCCATTCTCAGAAGACACTGGGTCTCACCTCACTACCTCCTGCCTCCCAGCCTAGAACTCTTCCCGCTACATCGAGGTGCAGCCCCTAAAATGAGAAAACCTGAACTGCTGAATACCGGGAGTGTGGCAGTTCAGGGGGAAGGGCCAAACCCAGTGACAGGAAAGTAAATACTTCACTCACTAGGAGCTGCTGACCTCACACCTAAGATGCCCTAAGGGTGAATCTCAGTCCCACCCGCTGTGCCTCGGGGTGGGAGCAGGCAAGGATGATGCTCCTTTCAGGAGGTTGGGCTGGATACACAGATTTGGCCAACTACAGCCGAGTGTCCCTGTGGGACTTAGGAGCCCTGTCTGGCTCCAACCCGAAGTAGGTCAGATTTCAGATAAGCGGGTGATTTTCCTGTAAGTGATGAAACCCTCCTCTGCACTTAATGAGAAACAGACTCTTCAACTTACCCCAGCACAAAAAACCAGAAGCATGGTGAGATCCCTCACTTGTCTCATCTTTCTCATCCCTCAAACCCCACCATTACCTCTTTACACTGCCCCCTCCAGCTTCCACCCTGCCTCCCTGTCAGCATGGCTACTAAACATGGATCCTCCTCAGTGTCCCCTGCAAAAGTGAGCTCCAGCATCTCTGCCTGGTCACCAGCTCCCCACCTGGGATCCACAGCTCTCTTGTATGAGTCTCTCCAACACTTCTCTCCTGCAGGAAACCACAGCATCCAAGCCCTACTAGGGGTCCCGGTATCCTTCACAACATTGCTCAATGGTGTTTGTGGTATGACCTATACACTATTTTCATAACCTTGCCCCAGGTGGAAGGAATCCTTCCATCTGTCTTATCTTTCTTTAGTACCACAGTGCCCTGCAGCTAACTGGAATCTATAGACCCTGCCACCTCCCTTCACCATCAAAGGCCAGGGATCATGGATATCTACCTAACTCCCGAGCGCTACATGAAGTTTCCAAAATAGTGCGGGGCAAGGACAACCAGTGCCAATCTGAATCTTTAGGAACAGGCATTTCATCACTTTACCTCCTGCTGAATGGAATTTTATGTCTTTTTTTTAATTGCATGATTGAACTTTTTTTTTTGTTTTTTTTTTAGAGACAGAGTCTCACTTTTTCACCCTTCGGTAGAGTTCCATGGTGTCACAGCTCACAGCAACCTCCAGCTCTTGGGCTTAGGCAATTCTCTTGCCTCAGCCTCCTGAGTAGCTGGGACCACAATGCCTGGCGATTTTTTTTTTTTTTTTTTTTTTGGTTGTAGCTGTCATTGTTTGGCAGGCCCAGGCTGAATTTGAACCCACCAGCTCCAGTGTATGTGGCTGGCACCCTAGCCGCTGAGCTACAGGCGCTGAGCCTATGTCTCACAGTTCTTCACACCACAGAAAGAACCTCTTGACTTCCCCAGTCTCCAGAGTTAAGATTAGCAATACTTTCCATATTTGGGGTCACAGGCCCCTTTGAAAGTCATCCTTCCCTATACAAAATTGTATATACAATTTCTAGGGTCCTCAATAACCATAAACTCAGCTAAATGGTGGGCAGAAACATAGCTCATGAAGTTTGGAAAGTGCTTCACATAGGTAAACAGCAAGGTCCAGGGACAGGGTAGGTGGCGTCTGTCAGACTGAATGTTTTATTTCAACAGACATCCCTGGTTTTAAAAAAAAGGGGGGCGGGAGGGGGTCAATATTTCATCACATCCGACAGAGAGCAAAACTCCCATCCAAGATTCAGAGCCCCTTCAGGGGCACCACTCAAGTCTTTGCTAGCTCCGAGACAGAAAGGAGCTGAATTTTCTAACTTTTGTTAAGAAAGATCTATCAAATATGTTCATTCTCGCAGAGGCGAGGGCTGGGTCCTCAGGGAAAGAGATCCTGGGCTAAGAGCAGCTGGGGTCCCAGAAGTGAAGCTGGGGGCCGAGCCAGCTGGGCTGGCAGGAGGTCCTTGTAAGAGTTGGTTCTGAAGCCCTAGAATCCATACTTGGCTTGGGTCTGACGGCGGCTGAGCTTGTTTTCTGACCAGGTGTTCTTCAGTTCCAGCTCACGCTCCTTAGCCTGTGGCAAGAAGAAGAGGGTGGGGAGAGTCAGACTGGAATTCTGAGAGACATTTTCCTCCTGCCAGTGAGAGCATCCCAATTTAAAAATCTTTCTCCCATCAAAACACTATGGCAGATTTTTGACCTAACCCCCATGCTAGCCAAGGGTCAACTATATCTGAAGGCTGCCCAGTCATACCAAATAAATACCAAGACATATTCTAATTCTAATTCTAAAACATTCAGTCTGACATTTTGGATTATTTGTAATTCCGACTTGCCTGCCACAAAACAAAACCAAGCCCCTCATGTGGATGTTATGCTAAGCTGGTCAATCAGCTTTTTGTTTAGTTTTTTAAATTACTAGATAAACTTGGCATTTAAAATAATGCTGTGATAAACCGTTTCAATCTCCTTTTGGACTATGTTTTAGACATGTGAATTTTCAATTAAGAGTTTATTCTAAGCACCGGCACCTGAGCCTTATCTGCAGTGAACTGAGCTGGAGCAGGATCACCCTTTGAAGGACATACCCCCGCCTAGTGGCCAAGGGGAGAACATCTGCTAGAAGATGGTCCCAGCCCCAGGGCTGCTAGCCCATATCTCATCCTTCAAATTCCCAGATTTACAGGAACCCTGCCTGCACTAGGGCCCTCAGCCCTCTCACCTGATGAATCAGATATGTGATCTGATGTTTCCGCCGCTGCTGGCCTGTTGGCTGCTCACCCTTCTTCTGGAAGGGAAGAAAATACAGTCATAAATCTCGAAGAAGAAAGCAGAAGTTTCTCTTTTGCCCAGATGGTACAAGTTTGAGACAGAGAAACCAATTACACAGCCCAAATCTTGGGGGAGAAAAGATAGCTTGGAGCTGTTTTTATGTCTATATACTTACAGAACAGTTATTAAAGCAACTATAAAAAAAAAATTTCAGCAATACTTGCCTAGGCTTGGCACTCATAGCACAATGGTTACAGCACTGGCCAAATACACAGAGGCTGGCAGGTTCAAACCCAGTCCAGGCCAGCTAAACAACAATGACAACTGCAACAACAAAACAATAGCTGGGCATTGTGGCAGGCACCTTTAGTCCCAGCTATTTGGGAGGCTAAGGCAAGAGAATGGCTTAAGCCCAAGAGTTTGAGGTTCCTGTGAGCTGTGACACTACAGCACTCTACCAAGGGCAACATAGTGAGACTCTGTCTCAAAAAATAAATAAATAAAATAAAATAACAAAAACAGAAATACTTGCCTAAAATAACTCCAATGGCCTAATGGATAAAGCACTGGATTCCCAAGCCAGAGGGGAAAAAACAAAAGAAAGAAAAGAAATACTTGCCTAAAATAGCCTGCGAATATCCTCATTAGACTGGAAATACTCTGAGATCAGGACTTTGTTTCTTTGGTCACTCCACCCCACCCCCTGCATTACCCACAGGGCTCTATCCAGGGTGGATATTGAAGACCAATTTTACCGAGTACAGTCAGTCTGAAACAGCTACATGCCAGGTACAGGTGACTTTCTGCCTTCCTCCAGGCCCTCCTACAATCCCTATGCCCATCTCTCTTCATCTCTGTCCCTTCCTCCCCAGTCAGGCCAGATGTCTAGCCCGTCTCCTGCTACTGCTTACACGCTCTCTCCCATCAATCACCTCTGGCTAAAACCCTACCTCCCCCATTCACGTAAGTGCCAACAGCTTCTCTGGAATTAGAAATTTTACAATCACTCCATCTCTCTCCAACCTCCCAGCCTCTATCCATAACTGCACTGAACCCCTAACGAAGCTCTGATGCAAATGATTTACTGTCAAAGTCTATATTGGTCTGGGCTTTCATTCTGTGGTTTTTCTAGCCTCTGCCAGAGCTGTCTCAGACTAGAAGCTTCCTAATCAGCTCCACCCAACTCCCAAAACTCCTCTCCAGAGTCTCCTCAGCACTTATGTAATCAATTTGCACTGTAATCATTTACACTCAAGTGTCCTTAAATCTCTTCTTCCCAACTACAATGCTGTCAACTACTCAAAGACAAGAACCATATCTTTTTCTCCTTTTTAAAATACCTACTTCAATACAATGAGACAGTAGGAAGAAAACTTGGAGGAGGAAAATAGCAAACTCTAACTGCTTGCTACTATTTAATGCCATTTAATGTGACAGTTAAAGATGATGTACATAAAACATCCAGCCCCACTGCTGGCCCACAGTGAGCACTAACAACAGTAGCTATCACTACATGACGGTACTTCTCAGCCCAGTTAGCTGAGCACACTCTCCTAAGTGGTTTTTCCAGTAAACAGTGATGGATCTGCGCTGATCTAACCACAATCCTTTGCTCTGTCCTATATGACCGCCAGCATTCAGTTAAAACAAACGACTGGGGCTCAGATGGCCATCTGTGGCCATAGAACAAAGCAAAGCAAATGGGGGAGGATAAGGGAACAAAATCCTCGACCTTGGCCTTGCTGGTGCTGGGCTCAAATCCAGGGCTTCCCCACTTGCCCCCCTATGGCAGGCTCATAAATGTCCACAATTGCTGTTCTCAGCTACTAGGTGAAAAGATGTTCATCATACTGACTGGAGGAAATCAGCACAGAGAAGGCAGGAGCATAGTGTGGGAAAGGTGATGAATAGAAGTGTCTGAAGAGCTGCTAGCTGGCCACAATAAATGATGAAAAGAGAGAGAAGGAACTGCTTGATCAGAATCTAGGGATTCCAGGACTTCTGAGGCTCTGTTGTGCCCATGCCTCAAAGATATGTTGAGCCAGGTCCCAGCTTAACAGGATGGAGAGGGATATGCTGGAACAACTGTGGTTTCTATCCAGCCCAGGAAGGAGCCACATACATAGAGACCTTCCCAGCTGCAGGCTGGTAACTGGCCTCCACCATCCAGCCCGGGGAAGTTAAAGTGCCACAAAGTTCTGATAGGCAAGGCCTACCTGTGGTGCTCGGGACATATTCCTGCAGTTCCAGGGGCAGTGTGTACTTGCTGAAGGTGTTGTGACAACAGCAATGGGTTTGAGGGTGAGACAAAATTTTGCTTTGGGGCCTCCGAAGTAGGCCACCCAACAGGCCTTCCCACTTACTTTGCTGAATGACTTCATGGTCTTCTCTTCTGTCAATGACTTGGTCATCCACTGCTGAGCCCCACTCAGCTGGTCATCACCTTTGATCTCCACAAAGTTGATTTCCTCCCTCCCTCGGTTTCTCTTGCCCTGTAGTCGTTTAAACTGGGGGCAGGGGGAAGGGGAAGCAGGAATTAGTAATCTGGGTGAGGGGATCAGGAAATGTTGCTAAGGATCCAAAGTTTATGGGATGATCTTGTGCCTCACCAATCCCACTGCACCCTCTATCCCCCTGTGCACTATGATCTTTCACCCGCCATCTACCAAGCTCCCTTAATGCCAGATGAAAGGCTGCTTATACGAGGCCAAGAGGTGTCCCCAAATTTCACAAGTACAAAGAACCAGTGGTATGAATTTGTATCCCAATTACATATAAATTTTATCTGCTTAAAAGGGCTGTATAAAATTTTGAAATTAAGAATTAAAGTTAAGGGTGGCACCTGTGGCTCAAGGAGTAGGGCGCCGGCCCCATATGCTGGAGGCGGTGGGTTCAAACCCAGCCCTGGCCAAATACTGCAACAACAGCAACAACAAAAGAATTAAAGTTAAAAAATAAAATCCAGGATTTCACCTCTAAAAATTGGTTCTTTTTTTTTTTTTTTTTTGAGACAGAGCCTCAAGCTGAGCCCCTGGGTAGAGTGCCATGGCTTCACTGCTCACAGCAACCTCCAACTCCTGGGCTCAAGCGAGTCTCCTGCCTCAGCCTCCCAAGTAGCTGGGACCACAGGCGCCCGCCACAACGCCCGGCTATTTTTTGGTTGCAACCATTATTGTTGTTTGGCGGGCCCGGGCTGGATTCGAACCCACCACCTAAGGTGTATGTGGCCGGCACCTTAGCCACTTGAGCCACAGGCGCTGAGCCTAAAAATTGGTTCTTTATCGATCTCTGAACCAGCAGACCCCACACCAGAGTAGATGTCAGAGAGTAAGAATGTGGAGCTGGGTAGAGAGAAAACCTCACACACAAAAAAGGCCCAACTAACTTTCTAGGAGACTGCTATTCTTTTCTCCTAAAACAAAAAACAAACGAACAAAATACCACAGATCACACCACAAGTCATCCAGAGATGTGCCCAGAAGGATGTGTGTGTGAAAGGGAATAGAATTTTAAAACTCGAGCAGCACCTGTGGCTCAGTAAGTAGGGCGCTGGCCCCATATACCTAGGGTGGTGAGTTCAAACCCAGCCCTGGCCAAACTGCAACAAAAAAATAGTCGGGCATTGTGGCAGGTGCCTATAGTCCCAGCAACTTGGGAGGCTGAGGCAGGAGAATTGCTTAAGCCCAAGAGTTTAAGGTTGCTGTGAGCTATGACACCATGGCACTCTACCTAGGGCGACATAGTGAGACTCTTGTCTCCCAAAAAACCCCTCAAACCTTCAGTGAGACCCAGGCCCTGGTCTGAACATTAGTGCAACCTCCTAGGCACACTCTCCCTGCAAGAAAATTAACTTTTGCCACTAAGTGAGTTCTCTGCTATCTCCTGGGCTTAGGACCAAAAGGGCTCAACTACTGCACTTGCCAAGAAGGATACACAGAGGGAAGTGGTTATCAATCATAGCAGAAGTATGCAATGGGATAAATACTTTCTGGGAAAAGTAGAAATGAATGATTTTTTATAAGATCCTCTATGGAAAGGCAGCGCCTCCTATCTCTCCAACTCCCTTCTAATAGGCTGTAGCCCCCTCCCCTACAGATTGAACAGCACTTTGTACCTTACACATGAGCCTGACACCACAGAACACTTCCCTTATGCAGAGGCTCAGGAGAAACTCCACAGCAGGGGATATAGCTATGTGAGACACAAGGGTTATCTAACACAGCTACTGGGTACCTCCTAACATCCATTTGCCCCTTTAGTGTGAATAAATTCAAACTTTTAGCTAGGCATACTACTACAGATAAAAGACTGCATATCCTTGCAACTAGATACAGCCATATGAACAGACACTAGTCAGTGAGATAAAAGTAGACATGTTCTTAGGAACTTTTAGGAAGTCTCCTAGAAGGGAGGAGAGGGTAATTTCCCTCCTCTTTCTGCACCCTGCTGTCTCTTCAATACAGATGCGATGGCTGTAGGTTTAGCTACTTCTATCCTGGACCACAAGAATAAAGGCCACAAGGCTACAGATGGCAAAGCAATGATCGGAAGTGGACAGGGCCCCTGATAACTTTGTGAAGCTGCCCCACTACTGCTGGTCTGACTACTTCTGTCCTTCTTTAATGAGGAAAAAACTGACTTCTCTCCTACATGTATAAGCCACTATTATTTAGAGTTTCTCAATTATATATTGCCAAACTAATCCTTTGTTGTTTTATTTCTTTTAGCTTCAGATTTGAAACCTGGTGTCCAAGGGTCAAAGATGATCACTTGTGCTTTGTTAACTTACTGCTTCATCATCAATGAAGGAGGCATCTGGGGCAATTTCCGGGGGGGGGACCAAGGCCGGGTCCTGTGCAGGATAGTAGCCACCACTGTAATAATCCTGCAGCCAAGAGGGAAAAAACACACCAATTGAGGGCACAGTGGAGAGAGAAGATGAGGTCTGCCCAGAACAGAGAAAACTCGGCAAAGAGGCAGTGGTGAGATGCCCACACACCCCTCAAACAGATCAGGCGAAGCCACAGACCCACAGGACCTACCCTGTAGCTCAGGATCAGCTCCTACAGCCTTTGTGGACCTGTACTACCCAGACAGATGGATATATTTTAGGGAAGGGTAACAAAGAATAAAGAAAGTGTCTCCTGCTTCAATCTATACCCTGTTCCCTAGGCTGTTTCCCAAGAGCAATTCCTGTCCACCTCTGACTACACCCTTGGCCCCGCTCTTCCTGCTGAGAAGACCCCAGTAAGCTTCGATGTAAGCAGGGACAGGGGGGTTCGAGCCACGCTGTTCTTACTCCTCATCCCAGGGAGGCCCTGTAGACACAGGTGACTGTAGGTAAGAGGTGGGAGGGTGTAGATCAGTGATACAAAGCAAGCTACACTAAGGTATTATAAAATTTATAATTATAAAATTTGTGTTAACTAATTTTTAGTTCAGAAATGTGGTAATTCCCCTTAGAGGTGAGGTGCCCAGATATTACCATTGTCCCTAGAGGAAGAAGGTTGAAGGCAAGAGCACAGCGCCTATTGTGGCCAAGTCAGCCAGCCCAAAGGTCAAGAAACTATTCCCTTCTTGCCTGTATTTTTACTTCCAGTCTTGTCCAAAACTCCAAGGAATGCCCCTCTATGAGAATTTATTTTATAATGAGCTAAATGGAAAACAGGTTTAACATTTACCATATAAAAATAATATATAAGATCTAATAAGTACAATCAATGCAACCTAATTCTTTGTAGCCTCAGTGAATCCCAAACAATAAAACATAATAATAATAATGATATACAAGAATCCAGAGCAATTAGAGTATGGATTTTTTATAATGGTATTCACAGTAAGATACATTTAAATTTTAAGTTCCCCTATCATATTTAAAGTACTTTAATTTGCACAGACTGCCTCAATGGTGCTCATAACTACATACAGAATTCCAATTTCTTATTTGTTTTTTGAATATAAACCAGTGGTTTCATGGATTTATTTTATTTTATTTTATTTTTTCAGTTTTTGGCCAGGGCTGGGTTTGAACCCGCCACCTCTGGCATATGGGGTCAGTGCCCTATTGCTTTGAGCCACAGGTGCTGCCCTGGTTTCATGGATTTAATAGCATCTTTTTTTTTTTCCTTGGAGACAGAGTCTCACTATGTCATCCTGGGTAGAGTGCCATGGCGTCATAGCTCACAGCAACCTGAAACTCTTGGGCTTAAGGGATTCTCTTGTCTCGTCTCCCAAGTAGCTGGGACTACAGGTGCCCACCACAATGCCCAGCTCAAACCTACTGGACTTGGTGTTATGTGGTTGGCACCTACTCACCGAGCTACAGACACTGAGTCTAAATAGCATCATTTTTTTTTTTTGCTAAAGAGGTCAAAATAACTATTTTCCACCTTCCTTCTAACACTAACCTTGAGGGGGAATATATTATCTCTGATCAGACTACAGGATACAACGAAGTTCAATAGCAAAAACTTAAGAAATAAAATTGTTTTCAAAGTCTCTGGTCAGAACAGGGTCTCCTTTAAGCCCTCCCTCCCTACCCACCCTCCAACTCAAAATAAGGTTAATTATTCATTCAGAGAATCACAGTGGTTCAAGGAAACATAAGCCTTCCATTTACCCCAGCCCAGCAATAAAACTCTGCAGCTGCCTAATCATGGGGACAGCCAGCTGCCTCTAGCCAACCTGACCACTGCTACCAAGTCCAGCTCCTAGAAGCCCTCTCCATCCAGCAAACTTTCATTGCTGAGAAATTCTTTTTTTTTCCCCTTTTACAAGATTTTTGTCATGAGCATTCTTTCTTAAACCTACTTACACCCTAGCATCTTACACTTTTACTCTCTGGAGCTACAATAAACAAATCTAAATATCTCTTCCAAACAACATTTGAACAAAACACCAATAAAAATAATTATAATACACATAACCATTTATTGAGCATACTACATTCCAGGCACCAGCATGCTAAGCTAATATAATTCTCCTAGCAATCTTACAAGGTTGCTCTTATATCTCACTTTATAGCTAAGGAATCTGAGACTTAGAAAGCCAGTTAAGTAATGTGCCCAAACTTACACAGCTTAGAATTCAAATCCCAAACTGCCCTCAGGACCCACTCTCTATCACCACAGAACTATGGTCTTCTCTAAAAATCTTCCCTTTTAACTCCTCCTTTGCATTTAACTTTCCATGTTCCCTCTTCTCCTCCTTAGCCCCACCTCTCCCTGCTATTGTTCTGAATACTCCCCACCTCCAGAAACTCTGCTTAGACTAACTCTAATCTAGAAGTCTAGGCCATTGTTCCTTTATTCTTTTCACCCACATTCCAGGAGCCTATCTCTGAGATTACAGACCACTCTTCTCCCACCTTCTCCCTACACCTCTCACCAGCTCCCACAAGATTTTGTTTTCAAAAAAGGGGAACTGCTCCAGGACTTCAGTCTAGACAAAGATTTTATGGCTAAGATTTCAAAAGCATAGGCAACAAAAACAAAAATAGACAAATGGGACAGTATTAATCATTACTTCTGCATAGTAAACAATCAACAGAGGGAAGCAATAACCTGTAGAATGGGAAAAAATATTTACAAACTATTTGTTCAACAGTAGACAAATATCCAGACTATACATAGAACTCAAATACATTAATGGCAAAAACCTAAATAATCCCATTAAAAAGTGGGCAAAGGATCTGAATAGATATTTCTCAAAAGAAGATATATGAGGCTCGGCGCCTGTGGCTCAAGTGGCTAAGGCACCAACCACGTACACCCAAGGTGGCGGGTTCGAATCCAGCCCCGGCCCGCCAAACAACAATGACGGCTGCAACCAAAAAAAAGCCGGCGTTGTGGCGGGCGCCTGTGGTCCCAGCTACTTGGGAGGCTGAGGCAGGAGACTTGCTTGAGCCCAGGAGTGGGAGGTTGCTGTGAGCTGAGATGCCACGGCACTCTACCCAGGGGAAAACCTGAAGCCCCCTCTCAAAAAAAAAAAAAAAAAAGAAGATATAGGAATAGCCAAAAAGTATATGAAAAGATGCTCTACTTCATTAATCATCAGAGAAATGCAAATCAAAACCACAGTGAGGCATCATTTTTCCCCCAGTTAGAATAGCTACTATAAAAAAGACAAAAATAAACACTGGCCAGGATGTGGAGAAAAGGAACCTCTTAGACACTGCTGGCGGGTGTTTAAATTAGTATAGCCAGTATGGAATACAGTATGGAGGTTTCTCAAAAACTTAAAAAGAGAACAACCATATAGTCCAGCAATCCCACTACTGGGTATTTATCCTTTTTATTTTTTTGGAGACAGTCTCACCATGTCGCCCTCAGTAGAGTACTGTGGCATCACAGTTCACAGTAACCTCAAACTCCTGTGCTTAAGCAATTCACTTGCCTCAGCCTCCCAAGTAGCTGGGACTACAAAAAAAACCAAAAAAATTAAATTCTATGTTTTATAATAACATAGATGAAACTAGAGGTCATTCTGTTAAGTGAAATAAGCCAGCCAGAGAAAGACAAAACTCACTATATTTTCTTTTCACTCATATAAAGGAGTTAGAGAAGTTGATCACACAAAGGTAGAGGGTATAATGAGAGTTCCTGGGGGCTGGGAATGGCATGTGGGGGTAGAGAGAAGAAGAAAAGGTTGGTTAATGGGTACAAACAAGCAAGTAAAAGGACTAAGTTTTAGTGTTCAACAGCACAGCAGGTGACTATAATTAACAATACCTTTTATACTTCAAAATAGCTAGAGCAGTGGTTCTCAACCTTTAAAATGCCCCGCACAACCCTTTAATACAGTTCCTCATGTTGTGGTGACCCCTAACCATAAAATTATTTTTGTTGCTACTTCATAACTGTAATTTTGCTACTGTTATGAATCGTAATGTAAATATCTGATATGCAGGATGGTCTTAGGTGACCCCTGTGAAAGGATCATTTGACCCCCAAAGGGGTCAGGACCACACAGGTTTAGAACTGCTGAGCTAGCAGATCTGACATGTTCAGATGACACATTCTATGCATGTATCAAAATATCACATGTATCTCATAAATATGTAAAAATATTATATGTCAAAATATTATATATCAAAAAACAAATAAATAGATTTTGTTTTCACAATAAAGGTATCAATTACGTGGTTCATCCTTAAAGACTCAGGCAATTGGCTCGGCGCCTGTGGCTCAAGTGGCTAGGGTGCCAGCCACATACACCTAAGGTGACGAGTTCGAATCCAGCCCAGGCCCATCAAACAACAATGACAGCTGCAACCAAAAAATAGCTGGGCATTGTGGCGGGTGCCTATGGTTGCAGCTACTTGGGAGGCAGAGGCAGGAGACTCGCT